AGTTATTACCTTTGACTTTTTTTTTCAATTTTTTTATTACTACATCACGTACCAAGTTTAAAAGTGCATACAAACAAGTGTCTACCCTTTTATTCTTTTTTCCTTGAAAATATACATGTTTCAGTGTTCGATGCAATGCTTCTAAGTACATATTTGTGTTAATGCCCAGTACTTTTCTGTAACAATATGCCCATAAATGACAACGACCAGCATAGTAAATTTGGAAGTAGTGACCAAAAGCCTCAGTATTCTTACAAGCAAATAATTCAGATAATACAAAAGTTAGCAATTCTTGAAAATCGGCAGGATCAGTTGACTGTAATAACAAACGCAAGTACTTATACACTTTTGCTTTTATCACTTGATCACCCTTAATTTTATTCAAGTTCTTACGCCAATTTCTATCGATGTGCCAAGCACAAAGGAGGTGATTATCTGGTTTACTCATAATATTAGTCCACGTATTAAAAAATTCTGGAGCATCATCAGACATAAACACTTTACATTTGATGTCACCAGTTTGTTCTTTAATAGAATTTAAAAAATGTGTTAAGACATTGGTATCTGCCCTGTTTGAAAGCAAGAAAGCTGTAGGCACCCCTTCTCCAAATTCATCCACAACCATAAGTGTTGTTAATAAGAAATCATAACTTGTAGTTCCATGTGTTGAGTCCACACATATTTTGTCTGAGCCAAACAGCTTCAATTGTTTTTCTTGAAATTTCGTCATGAATATTAATGCAAAATCATTCATGTTGAATACATTAGGGAGATCATCTGAGCCTTGCTCTTTGTAAAATATAATTGAAAATTCATCTTTTAGGGATCTTAATCGTTCAACCCATAAACGAATGCTTATGACATCATTCTGATGTAGCTGAACATATTCTTTTAAAGAAAAGTCCCTGGTTATATTTCTCAAGTCTTGGCGATCTAAAAGACTGAGTCGTCCAAGGGATTCTTCAGAGTAAATCCCATTACGAATATCATCTAGGATTTTTTGGAATGACACACCTTCAGAGATTTTTCCTTAAAATAAAAAAATGCAAAGTTAATACAACATTACATTAGAAAAAAAATGAAACATACCTGCTATTTGCTTTCTTTCAGTTTTAGTCAAATTTATATGGGTTAAATTACAATTATGGCCAAAATGAGGCGTATACAAAGTGGCCTTTAATTTATTTCCATTACATATTAAATCCAAAGTTGAAGGACAAGTAACATCTATCTTAAAAAAACCCTGAGATTTTAAAAATTTCTGTCTATTGTTTTGAGACGTAGACATATATCTGCTTGCTTTAAATGACCTATGACAAACATAGTATGTCTTTTCTATTTTGCTAGTTATTTTTTTACCAGTGGTTTTTACATAAGAGCATTTCATGTTTTTCTCAATAGTCTCTTTCCATGTTCTAAAATGTAAAAAAATATTTCGTTAGTTCATCTAATTAGCTATTAATAAATAACACTAACCTGCATAGTTTTCGAATTCCTTTTCTTCCTTAAACACTAAAGATTTTTTTCGACTTGTTGTAGCCGGTTCTGCTCCATGTAAGAGTTTAAGACTGTTTTATCGGTGCACCAAAATTTTTTCTCTGTTATTTACCGACGAAATGTCTCGAAATTTGGACATGTTATACGAAATTATGTTGCCTTTAAACTGATGGTTTTACTTTTTTTATTTTTTTGAATTTTGTGTTGAAAAATTGGATTATACTGTTTAACGTTCTCTTATAACCAAATTTTTCACACGCCCATCAGTTGAAATAGTTTTTTTTTTCTGTAATCGTTGATTCTTTTTTCACCTTTCTGTGTCCAGTAATAATCGAGAAAAGCGTATTCAAACTTTGAAGAAAATTGCTAAAAAATACTGAAATCTAATAGTTAAACGTGTTCCTCATCATTGTCGCTGAGCTTGATCGTTATCGCATTAGTGACGTCAAATCACATGAGCGTACGGTACGGTCTTATTTTTATTTATCTATGGGTACGGTCAGTTAGTTCGCTTGAATTAGAATCCATTTTAGTTCTTTCATTCTTGTATTTTCTTTATCAACTTGCTTAGTTTTTACAGTTTACAGTATTCTTATTTATTTTGAAAACATTGAAATTATTTAGTTTACGTGTATGTTAAGTAATATATTATTAGTTTAGTGGTATAAGTTAAAAGTTCTTTAGTTTACGCGTATTTTTAAGCATTACATTAGGTTAGTGATATAAGTTATAAGAGACAAGATAAAAAATGAGTCCCAGTAAACGTCCTATGTCAAGGAAAAGGAGAGCAATTGCACTGCTTTAGTATTTATTATTTATATTACAACCGTTTTTAAAAGCTTTTAATTAACATATATATATATATATATATATATTCAAGGTTCATGCAACTTTTCTAATATGGAGATTATCAAAGAAAAAATGGACGGATTGATAAGTACATTGACTTTTAAATGTCAAATGTGGAATATTGAAAAGGAGATAGCAACATATAATTCTGGTAACAATTCACTGAACTTGAATGGTTCTGGTTATTCAGACATACAGCAGCAGCACGCTGCATTAAATATACCTGTGATTTCCTACGGGCAGTATGCAAAACATACGGAAACAGTTGCAGATATCATCGGCCAAACACTTTGTGATTCCTTAGGAGAGGCTGGACGGGAGGAATTAGCTTTAGCCAAAGAAATTGGTGAAGTAGATTCCGACGGAAATGGGTTAATAACCGTTATAGCTGATGGTGCTTGGTCAAAAAGATCGTATAAAGTAAACTACGATGCTTCTTCAGGTGTAGTACCTGACGTTGTAAAATTTATTAAATTAGTACACCTTTGATGGATAGGACATGTAATTAGGCGAGATGAAGATGAAACGATCAGAAAAATTTTCGACCGAAGAGGACCAGTGGGAAGACGACCCAGAGGAAGACCAAAACTTAGGTATCAAGATAACATAGAGGATGATCTAAAATCCATCGGAGTTAAAGCATGGAGAAAGTTGCCAGAGGCAGGGGCGAATGGAAGATTGTTCTGAAGAAGCCTTTGGCTCATGACGAGCTGAAATGCCACTGATATGATGAAATAACTATCCACGATTTGTGTTTTATTCATTAATTGGATACTTTTCTTATGTAACTGCAACCTATAAATATATTAAAATAATGTATATTCCATTCAGAGAACTTTTTCCTCGCAGTGCGTCGCCTCGAAATACTTGCCAGATAAATACATTTACTATTATGATGGTTTCGCAGGTACCAATTTTTTATAGATAAATAAAAATATTTTTTTGTTTAATTTTTACTACGCTAATATCAGTTTTCTCTAACAAATATTAACAAAATATTAATTATATATTAATATTAATATAACAAAATTTAAATTTATTATAAATAAACACCATGGTGTTTTTTGCAGTCACGTTTCACAAATTTTTATTTAATACTATGTTTAGCTAAGACATATAAATTAAAAATGTGATTAATTCTTTTAAAACATTATCTACGATAATTAATCTAAAAAAAAGTATTCCGACAAAACTAATTTGAATGGAGAATAATGCATTTATTTTAAACAACTCGTGGGCCGGCGCCACTGAATAAACATCCAAACTATTAGGAAGTCACGTAGGGTCTGACATAGCAGTGTAGAAAAGTAAGTAATACGCCCACTTCAAATCGCAGTATGCTATAACTGCGAAAACAGCCTTAATATGTTTATTCAAATTAGAAATTGTGCTAAACGTTTTATCACAATATTTACAAAGTATTATTTACAAAATTATATATACATATATATATATATATATATATATATATATATATTTATATATATATATATATATATATATTATATATATATATATTATAACACAAACACAAAACCTCGAAGTAGCCGAAAATAAAATGCAGAATATAAAATTCACAGTACGAATAATTATAAAACAATAAAAGAGTACATTAGGTATAAAAGTATAAAGGTAAAAATAAAATGCAGGATATAAAATTCACAGTACGAATAATTATAAAACAATAAAAGAGTACATTAGGTATAAAAGTTCTAGGTTATTTTCAAAATTCAAATTCAAAATAAAACCGAACTTGTCAATAATGAGTTTGATATATTTCCGCTTGGTGCGCCACAGTAGGAATCATTCCTCCCGCGACCGGCTTGTGATCTAAAGAAATCGAAATACGTATAAGCGGTTGCCGTCGCTCTGTATTGAAGCAAAAATCTAGTACCGTCTTTATATTATATTTTAAGTTATTTAGTTTAATTATTTCTTAGTTTGGTTTGTAAAGAAAATATTTTGATTATGACTTAAATTCATAAAACGTAAAATGTTGGATGTAAAATCTATTATTCTGTTATTTTGTCAAATCCTATTATTAATTACCCTGCTAATATATTTATTTTATTTCGTTAACTATTAATTTTAGTTAAAGGTATTTTATACCAAAATTTAGAAGTGTTGATGTTTTTGTCTATTTTTCTTTCATTGTCTGGTTATCTGGTGAACTGTTGAGTTTTAAAGATATTAACAAGTATACTTTTTTTTGTTAAAATACTGCATTTTTAATATTTTTCGTCACAAATACAGGTAACTTAAAGAGCAAAAAGGTTAAGTGCAAATTTATGTCATAAATGTTGCATATCTAGCACGATCTATCAGCTACATCAAAGTATGCATTAAATTATAATTCCTCATATTTAATAGCACTTTTCTGTAAATTTTTATACATTTTACAAACATGTTTTAACAAACATGAAAGTTATAGCGAAAAATAAAATTTTAAAATTGCATTTTAACACCCTGTATCTTTCTTAATATCAATCATTTTGTTAAAGTAATTAGGCTTAAATCGTAATATTTTATTACATACGATATTATTATTATAATAAATTTTTAGTGTAGAATCTACTGTTTCTTTTTGTACCTACAAGTACTTATAAGGGGACCACTCCCCTATAAGGAACAAAATATAACTGCTGAGTACTTACTGTGCTTGTTCATATATTTCATCTCCAAAGCTTTGAATATATCTCTTCGCTGATAATTCTTGATATGTCATGGTTACTGCCTTTAGACACAAAGTTGTACTTCTGTTGGCTATTTCTGGGTCCATCGATTTTAGATAATTTGTCACATCAGCAGTTTTCACTGTAATACTTGCTATTTGCTTGGCTGTACTTATCGTATCTAATGGGATCTAATTATAATATAAACATATTTCTGGTATCATATTTGCAATATATACATAAATTGTACTTAATAACCGAATTCGGCCGGAGACCGAAATTTATTCGGCCAGAGACCCACAACGCGTTGTGAATTTCGTTTATTTCTCATCGCGTGTCGGGAATTTTTGACGGGCACAAAACGCCTTGTGGATATAATGCAAAGACCCACAATGCAAAACTAAGAAGATCGTCAGACAGACACGATGATTTTTCATGTTATGGGTAATGCAAATACCCACAAAGTAAATTCTAACTTTATTTAAAAAATGTAAATAAAAGTACGGTAATAAAAATGATGGCTATAAAAGATGTAAATGATGCTAAATGATCTAAATAAAAATACAAATTTTCACATAAGGAAAATTCTTATTTTATTTAAAAACTGCAGATAAAAGTTTTAAACCCAAACATGAGACATGATAATGAGAATGACAAAAACCTTGACCAAAACCTTTGTATGACATATTTGCTGCAGTGCGCAAGAATATTTTTTATTACTAATATCATTTGATTCAAACATGAATTGCGAGTCGGTTTAAACAAGTTTATTTTTTAAAACTATTCTATCTATTGATCCATTCTCAGTACTGAGTTTGTACAAGCCATTATTATTTATTTCAGAAATAATGGCTAATACATTTGTTGGAGTTAATCGACCTCTATCAACATCCGGCGCTTCAATCAAAACATTAGTCCCTTTTTTTAAATCCTTAGATCTTTTATTTGATTTACATATCATCTTTAATGCCTGAACTCTTATCATATTATATGATTCTTCTCTCTCATTCCATATTCTGTTACTTCTTTGGGTTAACTGATCATTGAATTTGCTGTCAACTTTGACTTCTTGTATATTGATTGCATCTACATGATTTTAATCAGGTTATTATTGTCCAGCATTTCTAAAGATTTATTCATATATTTGTCTTGATTCTTTAAATTCTCTTGGCAGGGTTCTACACTGTTGCTTTCTTCTCCATTTATAAAACATTCATAATCATGTTCGTTTTCTATGTTCCCATTTATTAATTCTTTCAAGTCTTTTTCATTTTGTAGTTTATCAAGGACATCTTTTAGAAGGTCTGCACTTTCTAAACCATTAGTTTGTTTGCTGCCAAACATGCCCTCATAAAGGTTCCTACCAATTCCTTTATGAAAAGATATATCTTTCTCGTACTGTATACATCACAACCTATTTTGTATTATTATTATCGTTTACCCAGGTAGTAAACATATCCCGGACATCTTGATTAGACCTCTCTATAGAGTCTTTACTTTGTGAGTGTCTTAGCCGACCATAAACTATTTGCAGACCAGGTCGCATAGTAGTTAGTTCTATAATAACCGAGTTGGCAAATCTCCCGGCCGTTATCACTTTGTAAGATGTATAAAGCATCTACAGAAAAAAATATCAATCAAGTGATCACTGATCAGCCACTTCAAGCACTGTTTTGGATTTCAATGTCTTTAAAAACAAAAATTTAGTCAAATGATCCTGGTAGTTTAAAATAAAGTTATATGGACCATTGAGACCTAAAATTTAACTCCACGTAAAATTTATTCAAACCATGCCCGAATTCTTGGTAAAGGTTTTCGATTGATTCACCCATTGTATTAGAAATTGTCAGAAACTACACTAAATAAAACTTATGTTACCTACCGGTAAGATTCGATATGCAATTTCTGTATTTCCCTTTGTGGGTATTTATATCGGCCATAAAGTAAAATTCGTTGTGTAATTCTGACGACCTTCGTAGTTTCGCATTGTGGGTCATTGTAATTTATCCACAACGCTTTCTGTGTGCGTCAAAAATACCTGAAAAGCGGTGTGAGAAATAAACGAAATTTACAACGCGTCGTGGGTATAAACTTCGGTCAACGGCCAAATTCGGATATTGAGTACAACATATATACTGTGCAGCATAAGTTAGGGCTATTGCTAATTTACTGGTAATTTGCATCAATTATTTGTACATACAGCAATTGCAACATAAACACGATTCATTTAATATGCAAAAAAAAGTTAAAGAACCCGCAGGCTTATACAAACCTAGAAGAGTTGGGTGTTTGGCAGATAACCAAGGCAAACCACTGTTAATTGTGGAAGAAAAACTAGACACTTTGAAGAATTATGTGGAAGTAACTTTTGCAAATGAAAGGCAGAATACCATTAAAGACACTGAATGCCAAACAGGACCTCTGATTACCATTAAAGAAGTCACGTCAGCTATTAAAAGAACTAAATATGGTAAAGCGGTAGGGCCTAGTAGTAAACGAGTTTTGTGCAGAATTCCTGAAACTTATGGATAAACAGGGAATAAAATGGATAACAACTGTATTTAACAACATATACGTAACTGGAAAAATACCCCAAAGCTGGTTAAAGTCGACCTTCGTGACCATACCAAAAACAGTAAATGCCAAGGCATGCGAAGACTACAGAACAATAAGCCTAATAAGCTACTTACTTAAAACGTTCTTGAAAGTGATATACGGCAGAATATATAAAAATGCGAAGAACAAGTATCATGGACGCAGTTTGGATCACGCGATTCCTTGCCACCCGAGAAGCTCTATTCGCTGTCAAAGTACTTATGCAAAGATGCAGGGATGTTAATTGTGGTGTGTATACTTGTTTTATCGACTACAAAAAGACATTTGATAGAATAAAGCATGATAAACTTATAAAGATCTTGAAAGAAGTGGGGTTAGATGATAGGGACTTGAGAATTATCTATAATTTATATTACAACCAAACAGCCAATACTATGGTAGATGACCAATTGACAGAGGTAGTCTCCATAGATAGAGGAGTGAGGCAAGCATGCATTCTGTCCCCGGTGTTATTTAATATATACTCTGAATATATCTTCGAGCAAGCGCTGGGAGAACTACAAGAAGACGTATTAGTCAACAGAATGCGCCTAAACAACATTAGATATGCCGACGACGCAGTAGTTTTTGCAGATAGTCTGGACGGTTTTCAAATAATAATGTCGCGTATATCAGATATAAGTTAAGAACACGGACTTGATCTTAATATGAAGAAAACAATGTACATGGTAGACAGTAAGCGCGAAATATTAAATACACAGCTTTTGGCTAACCAACATCCAATTGACAGGACAGCTACACATACCTTGGTACCAACATTAACAGCCAATGGGATCACTCCAGTGAAATAAAACAACGCATAGGAAAAGCGAGATCAGCGTTCATAATGATGAAGTCTCTTTTCAGAAGTCACGATTTACCACTTGCTATCAAAATCTCTCTCATTAGATGCTATGTATTTTCTACGTTACTATACAGAGTTGAGGCCTGGACACTTTCCAAAGCTTCTTTAAGAAAACTCGAGGCATTCGAGATGTGGTGTTACAGACGTATTTTGAGAATTTCATGGGTAGATCGTGTGACTAATATTGAGTTCCTACGAAGAATAAGCAAGGAATGCGAGATTATTAACACCATCAAACAGCGCAAACTAGAATATCTTGGCCATGTTATGAGGAATTAACAGAGATACGGCTTGTTGCAACTCATTCTTCGGAGCAAGGTAATTGGAAAGAAAAGACCAGGGAGAAGAAGAATATCTTGGCTTCAAAACCTGAGCAAGTGGTTTAATACATCGACAACCTGACTATTCAGAATAGCAGCAAGCAAAGTTAGGATAGCCATGTTGATCGCCAACATCCGGAACGGATAGGCACCGTAAGAAGAAGAAGATTTGTAAGTAAACAATTAAAAATTAGTATATCTTTTTAAAAACATTAAAATTTGAGACCTTGTTAAGAGAATCAGATTAAAAACACCAATCTATCTATTGACAAAGCACCTGTACAGCTATTTGAAAATGACCTTTTTAGTCTTAAATGCAATAAATAAATAGAATTCTTAACTAAAAGTTACTTAAAGGTTGAGCATATCTTTCGCAAATATGGTAACTATATAAAAACTCACATTAATAAATGTGTTTTAAATGATTTTTTATTATTTTAGTATTTATAAACAGTTGAAAAATGTTTAGTTTCTTGTTTAATTTGCAATAAATTTTGTGTTTATAAACATTTTTTCAGGTTTTCACAATAAAGTTTTCAAAAAAGTCGCTTTTTTTGCTTAAATATTAATAAAGAACCATGACGCAGTAAAAGTTTCGATACCCACGAGATGGCACGCGTTTTCTATTGAATATACCCAGACATTCCAGAAAAATAGCCCCCAGTGATTTTTAGATTTTTCAAGTGATTTTCCGGTTTCGTTTTCCGAGGTAATAAATTATAAACAACCTATAAGTTTAATTAATTTATTTATTTATGTTTGTATTGAATAAAAAAACTCAAATTATTGTTAATTTTTGATGTAGATAAGTGACCCAATTGATTTATACAGTTGTATAATTGTTGAATTATTGTTTATTTATTTTTAGCTATATCCCTAACTTACGCATCGCAGTTTATATATACATATATATTGAAAAGGTTATGTTTTATTAATTTTATTTTTATTGATAATAAATGTTGTATTTTTAAAGTATGTGGTTCGTTGTTTAATTTAATATACCTCGGCTAGCTCAATTATGTGTTCTTAGCAATCTGTCACTGTGTGACGTCGACTCTATAGTCTTCTGGTAGAACCGAAATTAAACCAAAATTTACTTTAGACTTTTGATAAATTAACCCAAATGAAGCATGTTATTTATTAATATTGAACAAATTTATTTTGAACAATAAAATTCGTTTGCAACTTGGGTTGCCTTTAAAAATTTACAAAAATAGGAATCGTGTAAACCTTAATATGGTTTAGTGTTGTGACAATAAAAATCGATTACAAAATGTGGAGACTTTCTACAAGTACCTGAAATCTAAATAAATATTGCAACTTTGTAAAGTGTTTAAATGAACTATAAAGAAAAAGAAACTGAACACTTTATTCCGCTGACTTTCAACTTGCATTTAAATATAATTAAAAT